AAGCACAGAATAAAGCTTTTTGTCCAATTCTCTTTCCGTTCTGTAGTATCACTGGAGCTAATCACTCGTTTAATGGTCAGTCGTTGCTGAGGCTGATTAAAATAATCCATGATAGGACTACTGTCCATTGTTTGTTCTTCAATGAACTGGAATCCAATGAACCCTACCAACCTACGAACGACATTTACGACGTTCACCACTGCACAGCCCCCAAAACACCATTCCTTACCCTTCTCAAAAGCGAAGGCACGTCGCATGCTGCTATTAGTCCTAAGAACAAGATTGCACGTCAAGCAGCTGAAAACATTCATCGTATGCCCAAAACTCGACTACTCATACATCGAAATCCACTTGTGTCTCTATGCTGCCACGGCATTGCCCTAGCGACTTTAACAACAACCACAAAAAGGAAACATTGCGGATTGGCGGTACCCATTTTCCTAAAGTGTGGCTAGACACGACCAAAATCACACTTACAAACGACATCAGTAAGCTATATAGAGTAAACCCCGCAAGCTCTAAGATCCAGTACACAGCCATACAAAACGCGAGCATACCTCTTGGCAAAAATCCCAGGCAATTCCTAATTTCTAACCTGGAACATACGACCTCCTCAACTAGCCATAACAGGACTAACATTGCCCACAAAACACAAGAAAGCTATAACGTTAGCCTACTTGAAAACCCACCTAGTGGTTCTAGATGCTACCAAAGTCAAGCTACTCTACACAACTCTTTGATACTTCAACTTTGACGTATACGCCATCTTATCTTTTTTTATCTCTATTCCCCTCAAGAAAAATGATATTGGGGTCCCCACATTTTTAGGAGGGCTATCCGATTATTTCGAGATTATCGTATATATACTCTGACCTATTGGAGGTTGACACATCTTTCTCCTCACTGATCACTGTCACTGATCTTCAAAACCCCTTGACTGAACCTCCTGACAACTTCCCAAGTACACTACCTATCCATTCAACCCATTCTACTCTACCTATCATTTCTAAACATACCTCCTTCGCAAAACTACCTTCCGACTATCTATCTCTCATTAGCCATCTTGATAGTAAACCAAACAAATATGAACAAGGAACTGTCACTCCCACTTCTTTCTCTTCTCCCCACGACAAAGCAAACAACCCATCAGGATTGGAAAATGCCCTCCCATTGGAAGAATGCACACTGTACCTGACATTAGTGTCAATCAGTGCTCGATCTGCACAAAATAGAACGTCTTACCTAAGCACCTAGTCACTTACAAACAATCCCTGGCCTGTTTTGACGACGGAGAGTTGGTCATCCTCAGATATCACAGACGCATACCTCCAAATAGATATCTGTGAGCTCTTCTGCTGTGATCGAGTCACCAAGTAGGGTGGTGGCTGCCTTGTATATACATAGAAATAATATGAGAGGGGAAATCTATAGCGATTATATCCTCAGTATACTACCTGATTCAATATGGCTTACTGTACACACCCTTGAATGTAAAATACTAACTGGATGTATACATCGAGCTCCTAACACTCCTAGTTCAACTGACATTGCTATAAGTGAGTCATTTGTTAATGCTATTTCGCTTGATTTCGTCCGCAAAACTGTTTGTGGTGATTTAAACCTTCCTACCATCAACTGGAAGACACATTCTAGCCCATTGTGCTTTGAAAGCAAACTTAGGTCCTTAGACATACATAGTTGGCAGCAGCATGTGCACCTGCCTGCACAAAATCATAACCTTGACATGATATTCTGTCATGATTTCACACCAACATTGGTGGTATTTGGCGAAAAGTTTCACAAGGGTGATTATAAAATAGTCCTCTGTACACTCCCTTTTTTGCCAAGTGCAACGAATTAAAGACATTATATTAGCGCTTCCAATATAGAGACTATGAAAATACTGACTTGGAAAACTTTCAATTTCTAATAAGGCACTCTGACTGGAGCAGTTTATTTACCAGTGATATTCGATACTACAACCAAATCTGCACTTGAAGTGCTTTTAAAACAACTACTCCCTTTATTGACTAAAAGACTAGGTCTTAGCTGAGAAAACTAAAAATGATGTATTATATAACAAAAGACTTCAGTGGCATACATTAAATCCACTTTGCAATTCAAATAATGCGAAGTCGCCACAACAAACATAAACAGGCAGAAAAACGTGCTGCCTTCACTACCGCATCTTAAGTCAAAAACTTTTGTTGTCTCTTTGAAAAACGCATAAGAAAGGACACAGATTACAACATTCGTTCCATACTGTACGAGGGTATGACGTATTATAACCAAACTGCTTCATGTGAACTGCTAGGTGAATGATTTTCCCACAATGGAAACAAATCTCGTGTCCCAGATATTAACATCAAGTGCATGAGCAAAAATAATTTTATTGCCATTAACTTCGATCTTGGTAGTACACACACTTCCATCAAAATATTTGAGACTAACGGAAGTTCTGGTGTCGATGACATCTCATCAATTCTTTACAGAGTGGCAGGACCGGATATACAAACGCTGTTGCTCAAAAATATTCTCTTATCTGAAGGCTACAACCACATTTCACTCTAGCAACAAGAGCTAGTATGAGTTTAATCTACTAATTTATCATACCTCTGTCTGTTCCACCGCACAATGTTAGGTATTCTTTAGCGTTCATATACGAGCGCCTCACTACTCCTTTGTTCCGCTTTTCTTCAGCATCTCGTTCTTAGGGCACAGCTATGGCAATTTCGACACCTGGAACAAACTTGACACATGAGTTTTTGCAAGATTATAGCTCATACCAAGCGTTCTACAAATCTACTTTATACCAAATATAAACTTAAAAAGTTGTATGACATAAACACTTAGCACGGCCAGAACTCTAACACAGTTATACCGAATTCGAATATGGTGTGTAACGTGTACACGGCGCCACTCTCGAAAAATATTTTAAAGAATGTACTTAGTGTATTGCTTAAGTATAAATCCAATCATTAACACTCCAAGACATCTGCATGAATGCAATGTCTTTTACTTTTATTGATTTCATCTATTTAACGACCCTACTTGAGTAGCATACTGTAAGCAAACTAACATTGTAACTTATAGATCACGCCTGTAAAAATGGCGTGTATCTGACCTGGCAGAAACACTTTACACTATGTATTTTATTACATTGAATAACAACTGTGTGAATCTCTTACAACAGTTAAGTTCCTTCATGGAAGTGAAGTCGAAATCATCATGGGAAAACTATTTTTCTAAATTTACCGAGTCGAAGTTTTTACATGTTGCTTGGTGGTAAAAGTATTTAACAGAAACCAGATAGTATACAATTACGTAGACTATAATAGAGAATCTACAGTGTTTGCCTTGAGTCCTGATGCTATGATCGCCCGTATATATATATTAAAGCATAAACAAAGTCCTTGTTTTTCAGTTGTCAATATGATGCGTAAAATTGTAAGAACGGGACGTAAGGAACAAATGGCATTTTTCTTATCGTTCTGGCTATACAAGATGCCCTTAATAAATTATTTAACGGATAGTGAACAAGCATTAAGTACGACGCACCTAATACCAGACTACTCATTGCTTGAGGACTACTTTGACTTAATACTCAATACTTTGTTCATCCAGACAGTGACATCTCACCTCATCATTTGTGTTATTAAAAAAGGTATTGAATCCCGTACAACATATCCACTTCAAATGTAAGCATATCGATTGAGGTTATGGCAACTCAGCCTCATAAATAACTTCCCAGCAACGTGACGGGCATTCAGAAGAGTATATTTGAGGTAGTGAACGATACTTTTTCAAAGGGTGCAGCCAATCGACAAAACCCGACTATCATAACAGGAAAAATATTCCGCTCAAAGAAAAAGTGCTGGTCAATTTGTTCCGGAGACAGGCAATCAACAGTTACCAATAGCGAAAGTTCCTAATAAAAAGGTGCGCTCTTCAAGGTTAGCAATATAGGACAGAAGCAGTTAATTCACAAAGTAACAACTAAAGCACGGCCATTCAGTATGGCAATCGCCATAAAACTGTATCAAGCAAGAGGAGGATAAAACAGTTAATAAAAGACTAAGAAACTTCAGGGAATTAAGTGTGATTCAGAATTTGCAAACAATATGGTATTAGTGATTCCAAGTTAAGTAGAAAAATAAACAAACATACCAAATTGTGGGAGAAAATTGAAGTAGCAATACATACAAAAGAAGAACAAGGCAATGGTCATAAGGAAAAAACATGGATGGACATAACATTATTAAGATGCATAGAGACCCCGCGAAACCCTTTAAGCTGTCTCGAATGTACAATGTTTGACAACTCCGTTGTCCGCAACATCACTCTAATTGAGAATCTTAAATCCAGTCAAACCAGAAGTCTGGTATGAAGGAGTTGGAGGATGTGTTTGAAAGATGGTCGATACGTCAATAAGTAAATGATCTAGGCTGGTAAGTTTTTATGGGGTGTGTGCAACACTCGTAACCCAATTGAGATTGGGTGCGGACGTTCGACTGAGTGCCTCCAATGAGGTTATGTCCACTAAAACTATTGCGGTCAGCATCAATATCGAAAACGAACAGAACTACATATTTTGGAGATAATTTTACCTTTGTAAGCCGTAAGTAGTCAGGCATATCACATTCTGCTATACTTCACCTTTTATATGTAAATGTTATGAGATTTGTGTAAACTTTGTAATAACAATATCTGTCCTTATCATGCCGCATGTCATTCTTTAATTTATGACGACACACAAGGTTTATAAGATTCCTTTTAATCATGAATCATCTCTGAAATGCTTTGATGATGACTCAGAATCGTCATGGTAGTTACTTAATTCCGGAAAGCAGTTGAATAACGGACGTCAAAAGACCAAACAGACGTATATATACAACTCATTCATCAAAATAATTCGAGTTACTCATACACAAGTATATGCTGTGGCGCTCAGAAATATCTAGACTGGATACTTCTACATTACTCCCACTGTTGTTTGAGTCAGTTTCAATCTATCAGAAATACTGTTTACTGTCGTTCCCGGAAATTTAAAATGGAGGGTTTGGACTTTAGTCGGAAACATACCATTGATAAGTAAGAATTCGGTTTAAATTGGGATTATTTTTAGCATTCCCTCTCGAAGAGGAATAACAGAGTGCAACTACAATGGGAAAGGTTGTATTTTCACTAGAGGGATCAAGACAAATGTCATAACCACAAAACGTCACAGTGACAGTGATATTCGCATTCTGGTAATACAACAGTCTGAAATTTCACAACTTACTCAACAGTTATCGAGGTTTAATTATGCTGAAATACTTATCCTCAATCAAATATCTTTGGATTTGTTGCCAATCTGCATTTGTTCTTTCAGCCACCTTTCGTTGTTGGATATTTCAAACAATTGTCTAAGTAGTTTGCCTCAGGATATCGCTAACTTGACATCACTTACGTTGCTGAATGTTTCGAAAAATCATTTGGTGGATATCACTGCTATATGCGAGCTTTCACACCTACAGTCACTTGATGTGACAGAAAATCAGTTAACGGAACTCCCACGGTCATTTTGGAAGCTTGGAGAGCTGAAGAATTTTTCTTGTTCATTCAACAAGATTGCCTGTCTTCCAGAGGAAATTGGGTGGTTAAAATTTCTCACAGCTTTACGTATAACGAATAACAGACTTTCGACTCTTCCTCGCTCTTTCTCAAATCTAACTGGCTTACTGCTTCTACAACTTGACGGAAATGTTTTTGACCATATTCCTCTGCAAATTTTTAGTTGTATCTCTTTGTTAGAACTGAGTTTATCTCATAATATAATAGAGGGTAGTATTCCTGCTAAAATATGTTCACTGGTTAATTTACGTACTTTGAATTTAAGATACAATAGAGTCATCGCGTTTCCAGCAGAATTAGAACAACTAGCGTCTTTGAAGTACTTAGATGTTAGTGGTAATCTAGTGGAACCTACCACAATTTCCTTCGGAAAGCTTATTCGAATTCAGCAATTTTCTGCATCGAAATGTGGTTTATCAATTGTTCCGGACGATCTTAGTTTGTGTTCAAATCTTGTTATTCTTGATCTTAGCGAAAACAGAATAGGGAAACTGGCCAACGAGAGTCTCAGTTTTCCTCAGTTAACTTCCTTGTGTCTAGCGTATAATATTATTTCCACTCTACCATTTTCAATATGCGGACTCAATAATCTGGTAGTTTTGGAGTTACAGTTTAACAAATTAAGTTCGCTTCCAGAGGACTTCGGGAGATTGTCATACACACTTCGCCAGTTAGATCTTGGTCATAACGAATTTGAGGTTATTCCTATGTCCTTGTTCTGTGGCAGGAGCCGTTTGTCGTATTTGTGTTTGGACGCCAATCCTATTTCAGAAGTTCCAAATGAAATAAGCAACCTAAAGGAACTTATTCATTTATCTATATCATATTGCAGACGATTGGAGTCTTTGCCTGAAGGCTTAGGATTGTGTACGAATCTTTGTACACTTAAAGTTTCCAAAAACAAGTTGTCCTCTCTCCCAAAAACTCTATCTAAGTTGGAATCACTTAAGTATTTGGATCTCTCAGATAATGACTTCAACCATTTTCCGTTGGTTGTTTGCTCCATACCAAGACTTCGTGTGCTTCTTTATGATCAAACAGAAGGCAGACCACTGATACCTACGGAATGTCCTAATGGATGGTATAAGAGAAGCCTACTACTTTATCCTGAGATGAATGACTCGTTTGATTCAGAATACGAAGATTATTCCGAGGAAAATGCAGGAACTGTTTCACTGGTAAATACTTTGTCAAAAACATCTATCAAAGGTTTGCCATCAATGATTGGAAATCTTAAACATCTGGTTCATTTATCCCTTCAATCAAATGGGTTGTATATGTTACCTGACGTATTTCATAATATGATGTTACGGCGACTAAATGTCAGTCATAATCGTCTACAATATCTCCCTCCAAATTTACACAGGTCCAAGTGTTTGACACATTTATACCTGCACAACAACAATATTGATCACCTGGATCAAAACATTCGAAACTTGAAGACTTTAAATATATTGACTCTTGACCAGAATCCACTGTTGTGTCCTCCAGTAGAAGTTGGTGCAGAAAGGGTCTTTCCTGTGTACTCTTACTTAAGGAACTACAAAACGTTTGATGGTAAGTACTGTAACTTCGTAAGCGAAGAGTTGTACAAGATTTGTGAGTGACTTTGAAAGCAGATTGACTATGCCAATCATCGTTATTCACCATAACTTTCATCATTCTTTATCTCTTCATTGTGATGTAACACACCATGACTCATCGTTCTTGTCATGATTCTAAACCACACAAAAATGGTATCACATGATTGTAAGCTGGATAAGTTTGTGGACGAAGAAAGCTAGCGTGACGATTCCCATCACAACAGCAGATACTGGAAGCTTGTACAGAGTAAATAAGTTTATGATGGCTGATTTACTCTTTATTACTTACTTACGCCTGTTACCCCTCATCGAGGAGCATAGGCCGCTCACCAGCATTCTCCATCCAACTCTGTCCTGCGCCTTCCTTTCCAGTTCTTTCCAGTTTCTATTCATCCTTTTCATATCTGCTTTTATTTCCCGGCGTAGTGTGTTCTTTGGCCCTCCTCTTTTCCGCTTCCCTTCCGGATTCCAAGTTAGGGATTGGGTCGTGATGCACATTGGTGATTTCCTTAATGTATGCCCGATCGACTTCCAACGTCTTTTCCTAATTTCCTCCTCAGCTGGAAGCTGGTTTGTCCTCTCCCATAAAACGCTGTTGCTGGTAGTATCCGGCCAATGGATGTTGAGTATTTTGCGTAGACAACTGTTTATAAATACTTGTACCTTCCTGATGATGGCAGTAGTAGTTCTCCACGTTTCAGCTCCATACAGTAGGACTGTCTTGACGTTCGTATTAAAGATTCTGACCTTGAAATTGGTTGAGAGTTGTTTTGAGTTCCATATGTTCTTCAACTGTAGAAATGCTGTTATTGCTTTGCCAATCCTCGCATTTACATCTGTATCCGATCCTCCTTGTTTACCAACGATGCTCCCCAGGTATTTGAATGTTTCCACCTCTTCCAGAGTTTCGCCATCAAGTGTGATTGGGTTGGTGTTCTCCGTGTTGCATTTGAGAATCTTGCTTTTTCCTTTGTGAATATGGAGGCCTATCGATGCAGAGGCTGATGCTACATTTGCTGTCTTCATCTGCATTTGTTCGTGTGTATGAGAGAGGAGGGCTAGGTCATCTGCGAAGTCCAAATAATCTAATTGATTCTGAGATATCCATTGTATTCCGTGTTTTCCTTCAGATGTCGAATTCTTCATAATCCAGTCAATCACTAGAAGGAAGAGGAATGGGGAGAGTAGACAGCCTTGTCTGACTCCGGTCCTTACTGGAAATGCATCTGTCAGCTGTCCTCCATGCACCACTTTGCACTGTAGTCTATCGTATGAGTTTTGGGTAATGTTGACAATCTTTTCAGGAACTCCATAGTGTCGAAGAAGTTTCCATAATGTTCTCCTGTCCACACTGTCAAACGCCTTCTCATAGTCAATGAAGTTGACGTATAGTGATAAGTTTCACTCAAATGATTGTTCTACGATGATCCGTAAAGTCGTAATCTGGTCTGTGCACGATCTATCCTTACGGAATCCAGCCTGATGATCCCTAAGTTCGGCGTTTACTGCGTCTTTCATCCGATTCAGCAGCACTCTGTTGAAGACTTTTCCTGGTACTGATAACAAACTGATACCTCTGTAGTTCTCACATTGGCTCAGATCTCCTTTCTTTGGTATCTTTATGAGATATCCTTCTTTCCAGTCCGTTGGCACTTGTTCCTCTTCCCAAATCTTTTTGAATAGAAGGTGAAGCATGTTTGCAGTTATTTCAATGTCTGACTTCAGTGCTTCTGCTGGTATGTTGTCAGGTCCTGCCGCCTTCCCACTTTTGATTTGTCTGATGGCCATCTTGACTTCTTCGATCGTTGGTGGAGTGACATCTATTGGAAGGTCAGTGTGTGCTGGTTCGATGTTCGGTGGATTCAATGGGGCTGGTCTATTCAGCAGTTCCTCGAAGTATTCTGCCCATCTTTTCCTCTGTTCTTGAATCTCAGTGATTGTCTTTCCTTTTTTGTCCTTGACTGGTCTCTCTGGTTTGCTATATCTCCCTGCCAATTTCTTCGTTGTATCATATAGTTGTCTCATATTCCCTTTTCTTGCAGCTTTTTCCGCCGTCGTTGCTAGTTCCCCCACGTATTTCTGCTTGTCGGCTTTAATGCTTTTCTTCACTTCCCTGTTTGCTTCTGTGTAGTCTGCTTGTGCTTTGACTTTCTCTGCTCGTGTTCGGCTGTTGTTAATTGCTAGTCTCTTGTTCTTCCTTTCTTGAATTTTGTCCAGGGTTCCCATAGAGATCCATTCCTTGTGATGGTGCTTCTTAGGACCAAGAACCTCCTGACACGTTGAAGTTAGTGCTTCTTTTATCCCTTTCCAGTTGTCCTCCAAAGTAGTTTCTTGTTCTTTCAGTAGATCCTGTAGAGCTTGGAACCTGTTGTTGAGAGTTATCTTGAATTCATGGAGCTTGTCAGTATCTCGAAGGAAGGCTGTATTAAACCTTTGTAGTGCTGTTTGTCCAGTTGTCCAGTCTTTCTTAAACTTCAGTCTCATCTTGGCCACAACCAGGTGGTGATCTGAAGCTATGTCAGCTCCTCTCCGGGTTCTCACATCTTCCATTGATCTTCGGAATTTTTTGTTGATACAGATGTGATCTATCTGGTTCTCTGTGGTGTGGTCCGGTGAGATCCATGTAGCTTTGTGTATGCGTTTGTGTGGGAATATTGTGCCGCCTATAACCAATTTGTTGAAAGCACATAGGTTTGCAAGTCTCTCCCCATTTTCATTTCTCTCTCCTAGTCCATGTCGTCCAATTACATCTTCATATCCTGTGTTGTCCACTCCAACTTTAGCATTTAGATCTCCCATCAGGATTGTGAGGTCCTTTCGTGAGCACTTCGCTATGATTGATTGCAGCCTTTCATACAACTGATCTTAATCATCGTCGTTGCTATCATTGGTGGGTGCATAACATTGGATAACGTTCATTGTGATCCCCTCCTTCTTTGTTCTGAATGATGCTTTGATTATCCTGGGTCCATGAGATTTCCATCCCACAAGTGCATTTCGTGCTTCTTTGGACAGCATTAGATCAACTCCCTGAGTATGTGGAGCATTTTCCCCTTCGTGACCGGAGTACAGCAGCATCTCTCCTGTACCTAGCCTTTGTTGTCCAGTTTGTGTCCAATGGGTTTCGCTGATTCCGAGTACTGCCAAGTTGTATCGCCTCATTTCCATTGCTATTTGACTGGTCTTTCCTGTCTCCCACATTGTCCGGACGTTCCATGTACAAAACTCCATTGCAAAGCATTTGTTTGAGGTCGGTCATTAGGCTGATATCAAGTCAGACCTTATAATTTTGTACACAAGCATTCAAGGGCGTATACTAAGGTTTATTAAAGCCTTGGCTGTAGGAAATCTGAAACCCCCTTTATGTGTTTAAAAGCAATTTGTTCTTACCCTTAACCTACACTGGTATTACTGACTTATTATTCAGAGTGCTTTTCAAATTGTTTTTGTGTTCTTTATTATTCTTTGCTTCCGCTTACCTTTTAATTGTCTAGTTGACCTTTTATTTTCCATATAAAATGTCCTAACAAGTATTTGTGTGATCAGATTGTTCGAAATGTGTTACTTTATACCATGCGAAACATTCACTGTTTGTGTTTTATTGGTGCAGCAGTTGATTTCTATGCTATAGTGGCCAGTTAACTTTGTTGTTGATTATTTCTTTTATTAAGCAATTTAGTGTTTAGAGGTCCATATTCATCACCTGGACTAGAAGAGGTCCTCAAAAGGAAACACATGGCTCTGCTTAAGAATACAATATTTGTTGAATGGAATTAAAAATATTGTCTGAATAAGTTTTACTAAATGAAAATTACCTAGTCCCATTTTCAGATGCAATACTTCTTAATGTAGAAAGTAAAAAAATTTCACGTTGCGTAGTCTCACTTCCTGATGCTTGAGTTTGAAAACTACATCTTTAATATGACCGAGGTCATTCAAACATCCAATAACATGACGACAAAGACTGAAAAAATAACTTAAGTACTGTAAGCCTTGTTAAGAATCTTAAGTCATTCGAGGATAACATGAACCTGTACCTGCTTAAAATGTTATTCCAAGTATAATTCTCTTGATGGGATTAAATATAGGTTGAGGAAAAATGTTGGACCATAACTTTTCACTAATCTATAAAATCTTTGAAGTTATCTGTGCACGGAACATTTAGTTTCACAGTTGAGGTCCGTGAGTTGCTGGGAATATTATGTGATGCCTCACAGCTGATTACAATGCTGTGTATACATTCACTTCTTACTTTTCTCTGACCACTAGAAATATATTAATGTTAATCTTCTCATGTTGGTATTCTTATTAAATTCTGTTTAAAGTACCTTCCACCAATACTTTTGTGTATGGGCTTCTTTTTTTATATATAATTAATTTTCTCTTGGGACACGAATTAACGCCTTGTTATCACATAAGAAATAGTGTATGGTATATAAAGAATTAATTACGGTATTTGGTTCAGTTATTAAACTGTTCAGCGTATTTGATATGAATCGAGTTCATATATGGATATAACGTGTTCATGTTGTTCGTCTATTATTAAATGAATGTTGACTTTTTAGTAGATACATTCGATATATTATCTGCAGCATTCTCTAGGAAATTTTTATCGATAGAATGATTTCATTTGATGAACCACTGGATAGGAGTATTACGAAGTCTAAATTTCTAGAATTCATACTTGACACCTCAATGACAAATTATCCACTATGAAACTATAGATATTTCTTGTCTAATCCCCAAAAAGCTCAATAATTATACTAATCATCACTTTTCCACTACCCTATAGCTATTTATTGCTTCTCAAAGTGAAACCAGTTTGCAATAAAAGCTACTGACAAGACAGTATTGATTCCTAATCACGAAAAATTTACATTTTGGTTTTTCCACAATTGATTTTTCACTTACCATATAGAATTTATATTAAAGTCCCTGTGTGAAATCCTTATCAACAACTTTCCAAAAGAAAACACCCATATTCTACTTCGAAAAATTGGTTTCTCTGATTCTATGATTGAGTCCTTGGAAAAACAGTTTCCTGGAGGTCACAACCACATTAAACGTTTGAAAGTTGCCTTTCAAGCTTGGACTGGCTTTTCTTTTGGGTATGAAGATCTAGGTTTAAATATAAAGTCTAGAGAATCATACTCTGATCAACAGCTAACAGATAGTAAGAATTTTAACACATCTGACATACTTGCTGAACGAGATAAGAAATTAGTAGTGCAGAATCAACCTCTGCAATCTGAACTACATAATACAAAAAACTCTTTCAGCTCAATTAATGAAATATTCAAAGAGACAAATTTGAATTCATATATCAATTCGCACAGGCTTTTACATATTGTACATTTAATTGGTTTAGACGAGTTACATTCAAAACTTATGCAATACTTACAACGTGCTCAGCAAGTACGATTTTGAACTGTTCAATTAATTGAATAAATTATACTTATTCGACTATTTTTTGTTACTTCATTATGTATACTTTTTTTAAGATATCTTGTTTTCTTTGAAATGATTTCCTATAATAATTTGTTTTATTGCAATACTTTTAAAATGTAATCTGTAATTTAGATATAAATTTACTTCCAGTTTTTCAAAACTTGTCTTATGTTTTTACTATTAATTAATCACTGGGATTTGAAGTATTTTATTCATATACTCTTACCTGTTGTGCCTCACTGATGTGGAAGCATATAAGTAACTTGAAGCAAATCGTTAAGTAGCTCTATCCAAGTAAAATATACAGCTTTTTTTTTAGCTTATTAAGGGCTATATACTATTATTTGATTACTAGTTTGTTCTAATTAAAAAATAATCTTAAATTTAAGGAATACAGTCACTCAACATCCTACTACTAGATTTCAGGTTTTGAACCGTGTTCCATCTATTTTGGTCTAGTTCATAGGCTAATTTTATGAAACTTAATGTATTTACCATGTACCTGAACTCTTACTTGTTTGCTGTGTTGAATTTATTAGGTTATTCATTGAAATCAAAATAGCTTTTATTCCGAAAAGGTAATCAATTATTTTTTTATGATATATACTATTCGTTTTTTCTTACATGATCAAAGGATGGACATCTGTGCACATAGACATTATTTCAATTTTAATAGTGAAATAATTTGAAGTGACTGTTGAATATTCTGTTCATTTCATTAAATAAATTGTAATATATCTTAGCCTAAGTTTACATAACTGTCCAGTTCTCCATGGTTTTTCTATCGCCTTTCTGATTAAGGAGTCTTTTAAACATTTTATATGAACCACAAAGGTTTTAGCAAATTAGATAGATATATCTATCATTAAGTTATACTGTAGTAACGATAATAGTAATCTTATACTGCGATATTTTTGGATTTATAAAAAAAAACTACTTGGTGTACGACCAAATTAGTGATAATTATTCTTTTAAACTTTTTGAAAAGAGTTTTTTCACCAATATCAATTATCAGCTTATTCATGTGATTTAGTCATTGGTTTAGTGCACAAGTATGACGTTTTTGTGTTCAGTTGACAAAACGGTACTTTAATTTCTAATCACATACAAAAGTACTCTTTCATCTTTTTTATTCTAGAAATTAATTAATTTTGAGGGTTTAATTCTACTATGGTAAATATCTTGAAAGAGAGTAGCGAAAGGAAGTGAATTCTCAAGTGCTTAATAGCGACGTATTTTAAGTTTGATTTGTTGGTATCACTGTTTTTTTTTGTCAATGAACTGATGAGTACGATGTCAGTATAAAAACTGTAATGATTCAGTATTAGTGGCAGTGTAGTATTTTAAATAAAATAGCGTCCATTTATGAAGTTCGATCAATAATAAGGACTGGATAACCTGATATATATTTCTACAAAGTGGTCAGTAAGTGCAAATACATTAGTCTCATAAAGTGTCAGTTTCGGGAGGAAATATTCATTGATAGCATCTCTGAATGTCACACTGTGTAACTTCAGTTCGAATAGCATTGGCAACATCAGTTACTTCAGGGTTACAGATAGGATTGAGGCAACGAGTGCCAACTTGATCTAGCCATGGTTTCGGGTTTTTCGTCAGTGAACTTCAACTTCCTAGCGTAAATTGTCACCATTGTACGCGCAATATATATTTTTTTCCATAATAATAATATAAGAAATTTCACAGAATATATGAATATTATGTAGGCTTCCTTAAATATAACCCGAATAAAGGGTATAGCTTAGCTAATGTTGCCCCCCAAGAGTATAATTCTTAAAGGCACATGGTGCTATTCATAATCATCAAATATAATAAGGTTGAAGAGTGCTAAATCTGAATCACCTCTGCTCATGTAGTACTTAATATGCATATAGTAGCGTAGAGCTGGACAGAAATATAGTTCTGTATTTATCAGAGAGCATAATCTACAACCTTAATAAAAATTCTAACCGGAATATCATTTACCTAACAAATAACTTTCAAAAACCACCAATATTTCAGATTTGTTGGTTGTAAAGAAATCATTAATAGAATGAAATATTATCCAGGCACCAAAAGCAGAAGAAAAGTTGAATCAACGTCCCAACACCAATGATATGGAGTTAGTCAGGTTATATATTTAATCTACCGACAAACTGAATTTAAGCTTGCTACGGCTTGTGAATGTAAGCAATAAGCTAAATTCATCTTAGATTTTATACTGTAAATGTTGTAAGTTATCGATGTAAGCTTCATGTGAATAATGTAACGACAGGAAATAGAAATTTTAACTTGTGATCCACTTTTCTTGAATTATCCACAAACGAGTTAGGGTTAGTCGGGTTTTCTATACCTTAGTTTGGTAAACTTCGAGGCAGTTAGTTGGTTCACCTGGTAACCCTTGTGGAGGACCATAGGTCGCCCGCCAGAATTCTCCATCCAACTCTGTCCTGGGTAATCCTTTCCAGTTGCTATTCATCCTTTTCATGTCTGCTTTCAATTCCCAATGCAGTTTGTTTCTCGGTCTTCCTCGTTTTCGGTTCCCTTCAGGATCGCAAGTTAGCGCTTGACTCGTGATACAGTTCGGTGATTTTCATAATGTATGCCTCACCCACCTCCACCGCCTTCTCAATGTCCTCTTCAGCCGACAGCTGGTTTTTCGCTCCCACAATAGATTGTTGCTGGTGGTATCTAACCAACAGACAACTATTTATAAATACTTGTATATTTTTAATGGCGGTTGTAGTAGTTCTCCAAGTTTCAGTTCCGTACAGTAGAACTATTGAAGGTTCTCAGTTTGATGTTGGTTGACAGACAGTTGTTTTGAGTTCTATATGTTCTTCAACTGCAAGAATGCTGCCCTTGCTTTGTCACTCTGTTACCTTACATCTGCATTGGATCCTCCGTGTTCATCGATGATGCTGTCCAGGTACGTGAATGTTCCCACCTTTTTCAGAGCTTTCTCATCAAGTATGATTTGTTTGATGTTCTCCGAGTTGTATTTGAGGGTCTTGCATTTCCCTTGTGTATGTTGGGGCCTAACTGATACAAAGGCTGCTGCCCCGCTAGTTGTCGTCATCTGCATTTGTTGGAGTGTATGGGATAGAAGGGCTAGGTCAACTGCGAAGTCCCAATCTTCTAATTGGTTCTGAGATGTCCATTGTATTCCGTGCTTCCACTCAGGTGTCGAAGTCTTCATAATCGTGTCAATCACCAGAAGAAGGAGGAAGGTGGAGAGTAGACAGCCTTGTCTGACTCCGGTCCTTACTGTCAGCTGCCCTCTATGCACTACTTTGCACTGTAGTCCGTCGTATAAGTTCCTGGTAATGTTGACAATTCTCTGAGGGACTCCATAGTGCCGACAAAAATTTCCATAAGGTTCCTCTATGCACGCTATCGTACGCCTTCTCATAATCAAGAAAGTTGATGTATGGTAACAATTCTCATTGAATTGATTACTCAACGACGATCTGTGTTGTCACGATTTGGTCTGTGCACGACCGATCCTTACGGAGTTCAGCCTGTTGATCTCGAAGTTGAGCGCCTACCGAATCCTTCATCCGGTTCAGCAACTCTCTGTTGAAAACGTTTTCTGGTACAGACAATAATGTGATGCCTCTGTAATTCTCACACTTTCTCAGATCTCCTTTCTTAGGTATCTTGATGAGGTATCCTTCTTCCCAGTCTGCCTGCTCTTGTTCCTCTTCCCAAATCCTGAATAGAACGTCGGTCATGTTTGAAGTTGCTGCTATGCCTAACTTCAGTGCTTCAGCTGGTATGTTGTCAGGTCCTGCTTCTTTTCCATTCTTGACCTATTTGATGGCCATCTTGATTTCTTCGCTCGTTAGTGGAGTGACATCTGTGTAGAGGTGTGTGTGTACTGCTTCGATGTCCGGTGGGTTCAGTGAGACTAGTCTATTCGAGAGTTCCTCAAAGTGTCCTACTCATCCGTTGTTGAATCTCAGTGATTGGTTTGCCTTGTTTGTCCTTGACCGGTCTCTCTAGTTTACTGTATTTCCTTACTAGTTTCTTCGTTGTGTCACATAACAGTTCAATCTTTTCGAACACATTGACATCCATTGTTGAGTCAGTATATTCAAATGCGTTAAGAGTGCTTTGAGAAGACATAAATCGTTATTTTGTACGTTTTTAGGGTTATATGACCACAGGGTAACAGAACCGTCTATAACCATTTTGTTAAATTCACTCTGTCACACTGTCAAATTGTATCTCCTCATCTGCGATCTCTTACATTGTTCGGACATTCCACATCTGGTTGTCAGAAGGGGCACCGACCTTATGGATTCCGAATAATCTCGACTTTTACCACGAGGGGTCGTAGCTCTTATAAATGAAAATCTTTGAAGTCGGAGGATAGAGTTTAAATGGCTTAATTTATTTATCGATGTAAGCGTATTTTTAGCATGGTCTGTTTTTACGGGATAGGGCTGCTGACCTGATGCCCAACACTACTCTTTAACCCGCACTTAGGACCGGCAGTAATCCTAGATGAGCTATAGGCGGAGTTAAGCTTTGAGAGTAGCGACGAGATAACCCGGTATATATTTGATTTGTGTGTTCAATTTAAAACTACCCTAGCTCACAAGCAGAAATATTCTTATCTAGTAGGACTCACTGAATAAACATCAAACATGAATAATATCTAATTCAGTTCGAATGACAACGTTGAACGCTAAGTTAATTAAGATAGTAGCTGATACTAATACAATGATACAGAGGCCTACATAAGTTCAATAGTTGAAAGTTATATGTAAGTACGAATATTTCTCATTATCTGGTTTAATTATTATTAAAATTTACTTGAAATAAGAAAAAAAACAAATTTTTCAAAATAATTTAACTGTACCATAAGACGAATAAATATCTAACATATTTATTACTATTTAAATAAAAAATTAGATTAAAAAAAATTCCAAATCACAATTGAAATAGATTTCAATACAATTAAATAATTTCGTAATTAAATGAAAAAAGAAAAAAAACAAACAGACAACCGTATTATGAAAGTCTAATTCATATTTTATTATTAAATTAAAAAAAAACAAAAGCAAAAACAAAAAAAGAAAACAATCGAATATCTATTATCAGAACGGGGTTGTGTGGAGATTTCAGTATTTTCGTAGTTGAAAGCGTGAGTC